CTACCGCCGTCCCCACCTGGGTCGCCGGACTCTTCGCCGCCCGGGCCGCCGGCACCGCCGGCCTCACTGCTGCCGCTGCTCGGGCTGCTCGGGCTGCTGCTGCTGCTGCTGCTGCTGCTGCTGCTCCTGCTGCTGCTGCTGCTGCTGCTGCTTCTGCTGTTGTTGGTGGGGCTGCCACTGCCTCCGCCGAAGTCGCCCCTTCCCGAAGGGAGCGATGGGGGAATGCTGCCTCCGTCCCCAGGAAACCCGTTGCCGGGTGTCGTCGGCGCCTCCTCGCGCACAAACGGTGTCGCTTGCCCTGGCCCACGAGCCTCCATCACGTCGAGGTCGGACTCACTCTCTGAGTCTCTCTCCCCCCCCCAACCTTGGCGTGATGCACCCGCTCTGCTCTCCCCCTCCCCGTCCTCCTCGTCATCCGCGAGAGGTAGCAGCTGCGGGGGAGCGGGCGATGCAGCGGGCACGTGGCGCCAGGTGAAATTGCGGGTGGTGATTACGGTTCCAGCTTCGGTTAGCATGCGAACGCAGTCACGGGGGTGATTGTGGGCAGGACCAAGGTACCATCCTTNGGGAGCGGGCGATGCAGCGGGCACGTGGCGCCAGGTGAAATTGCGGGTGGTGATTACGGTTCCAGCTTCGGTTAGCATGCGAACGCAGTCACGGGGGTGATTGTGGGCAGGACCAAGGTGCCATCCTTTTTCGCCCTTGGGTTGCGACTTTTCTTTTTCTTCTCGACTTGAACACGGCTGGTTTGAGAAACGGGTATGTAGACCCGACAGGCGGTGGGGAGTCGTGGAACATCTCGTAGGCGGATTTGTCTCCCTCGTTTGATTTAGTGGCGGTGCAGTTCAGCTGATGGCATGCACACGAAATGGCCTCGGCCCACAACCCGGGGTGGTTCGGTGCGGCGGGGAACAGTTGCGTCGCTTGGGTGCGTGACGCAAGCGCGGCGTTATTGATTAACTCTAGCTCTCTCTCCTCTACACCGTTGTATTTTGGGGTGTGAGGGGGGTTGAACTCTTGTTTGATGCCGTGTCTGCGGCAAACTTCCGCAAACTGCCTCTGGAACTCGCCGCCACCGTCGGTACGTGCGATATAAACCTCGAACGGAAACCCTTTCGTTCGGTGGTCCGCCAGGAACTTCTCAAACCCAACCGCTGCGTCAGACTTGTGTTTCAAGAAGAAAACACGCGTCCAACGGGAGAAATCGTCTCTGATGATCAGTGTGTACCAGTTGCTACCAATGCTCCTGGTTTTCATCTTTCCCCCCAAATCGAGATACACACGAAAACACTTTTTAACTGCGCGTGTGCTCATGCTCTTCTGGATGGGTTTCACCTGTCCCTTGGACATCGAACAGCCAAGACAAGGTAGCAGCGGTCCAACTGCCACGGCACAAAACGCCTGGTCTTCCACGGAGTCCACGTCGCTCCTCTACCACTTGCGCTAGGACGGCCTCCTCCTTCGCGCACTTTTCTTTTGTGTGGCCCCACCCCTCGCAGCGCGCACAACACGGCACGAAGTCCTTCTCGTTGGTAGTGCAGCCGATCGCTTGAAGTCCACGATGTCCTCGCCGAAAGCACCGGCCCGGGAACTTATAATCCCCGCCACCGCCGCCATCAGCGCCTCCACTGCTGTTTCCCTTGCTCTCCTCGACTCCTCCGGATCCGCCTGACCGGCCGCCGCGACCGCCGCCGCCGCCGCCGCCGCCGCGACGGCCTCCGCCACGGCCACGACTGCTGCTGAGGCCACGGGCGCCGCCACGACCACGACCTTGCCCCTGACGTCTACATGAGTACCGCTTCCTGCGGCCCTCACCGTCGGCGAAGTACGCTTGCTCTGCGCCCTTCGCCACTTTTCCTTTCCCCTGCTCCAGCTTGTCCTTGATCGCCTTGTAGTCGATCATTACTTCCTTTAGCACACCGGTCCGCGTCAACTCCTTCGCGTGTCGCAGGTTGTGCTTTGTCATGGCATACTCGTCCGAAAGGGCATCCAGGAAGAGGTGAAGGACGAACGTTTCGTTGACAGTTAGTCCTTTCTCGGTTAAGGACTTTGCGGTTTGGAGCATCTCATTTAGGGCGTTTTGGGGGTTTTCACCTCTAGAGATCTTGGTCGACGTCAGGGACTTGAGGTCCTCTGACGGCTGTAAAGATGATTTAGGGTCTTGTATGGTCTTGAGCTCACGAAGAGCTCCCTGGAGCGTCTCTGCCCTCTTTATGATTTTCCGATCTTTTTCTTTCAACGCGTGAGACAGGAAGTTCCACGCGTGGAATGCGAATTCTACTTGCTCGCTCCGGTACTGCTGTGACAGCGAAAACTTGCTCTTTCCGCTGTTGACGGGGATCTCCAAGCGTCCGCTCTCTTCAAATTGTTCCAACAGGTTTGCGCCATTAGCTGCCATGCGGAAATCATTTAGCCATTCGTTGAAATCTTTTGATTTCCTGCTGAACGGAGGAGAAGTGTACCGCACACTTTGGTACCCCGTCGCTGGGTTTGTGGCTCCGTATCCAAAGCCAACAGCAGCACCACCATCCCCCATGGCCCTACTATAATCTTGGTTGTGAGCAGCGGCTACTCTCACCTCTTGGGGGACAAAGCCCCCTGCTTCGCCGCTGTGTTGCCATGACGGGCCAGACTCTCCAACAGGGTCGCGCAGGTACCTCCCGTCCTGCGCACTCCCGGTCCACGGTGCCCCTCCTTCGGCGTTCGTGGACTCCGCGGCGGCGCTCTCCCTTGCATCGCCGCGATCAGCGGCACCCTCCATGGTGCCAGCTGGCTCCTCCTTCTTGCTTTCCTTCGTGGCATCTTGCACTAGCGACATTAGCTGGCTCATCTGATCCGTCAGCGAGCTAACTTGCGTCCTCAGGGCCACGANGTCTTCCGCCGCAGAGTCGCTGGAGGAGTCACCCCCATATTTGCGACCTGACATTCCTAATGGACTCTCCCTCGAGGGACTGACACTAGTGTGTTCGTAGATGTCCTTTACTTGGAAGGGGAAGACGTTTTATCTCTTGTATTAGACATGCAAGGGGAGTAGGGAGACGTGAAGCCCTGTTTGGAGTTCGAAGGGTCCCCGCACATGCAACCATTTCAAGGCGTACATATGCGCCGTCTGCGTGCCCTCTGTTGTTGCGGGTAGATCAAACCAGTCCATATCCAAACACACGAACATTTTGATCGCATACCCGCCACGTTTGACCAGGGGGCAGGAGATGTTTGTCGGCCGTACTCCGCGTACTTATCGGGACTTGTTTGTGTA